CCCCAAAACCCCAAAACCCCAAAACCCCAAAACCCCGGAATTCCAACCCATTTAAAAATTTAGAATGTTTTTAATTTTTAATGTAAATTAATTTGATGCGGTAATAGTATCAATCTTCATTTTTACTAGGGGAAGAATTATTAGAATCATTGCCATTTTTCGTCTCAGTATCATAGCATTTCTTGATATTTTCCTCTAAGAGGTTTATTAGGACTTATGGATCCTTCATGATTGCATCATCAACTGTCAAAGTGATTTTAAAGAAGTCAACATATGATATTGCTCCTAAGGCCATTCCAGTATAGCCAGAGGGAATTATGTAAGTGAACATCATGATGGATTTCTTACCATCTGATACAAGAGGCTTTAATAGTCCTGGAGTGTTTGAAAAAGCCATTGTATAAGGCTTTGTTGATTAACCAATGAACCAGTCAGATATAAAGTAAGGAACTAACATACTTGTATAGAATGACATTGCATAGGTAGCATAGATCTCAGCAAAGGAATTTCTCAGAGATGATGTAACTTTAATTACTTTTGGTATAGATTTGGTGATGTCACTATCTAAAGGTATGACTAATGGGACTGGAGCAAATTTGTTTTCAAATTTCAATTCTTTAATTGTTTTATAGTGACCAAACCTAATATTTGCTGGAATAACAATATTGATCTTATCAGTTGTCTTATCTCCATTCATTATCAAATATTACTTCATTGCAGTGGCCATGCATGCGGTAACTAAATCGTTTATAGTGCATTTTTGCTTTTTAGATGCGGCTCTTATATCATGGAAACTCAAATCACTAGAAGTACCGCATAATTTTTTGCCTGAAAGCTATCTTTTTCCATCATGCAAAAGATGCTTATCCTATTTGAGACTTGCCATCTTAACTAGAAATTTAATCAATTAGAATGGGACTGAAACTCTTAATAAAAATTTCTCCATAAATGATATATGCTTTATAGGTACGAGGGAACTTATGTCTAATAAGTCACTACCGCCATGAGTTAAATGATGACTAATGCAAGATACTCCATCGCATAATGAATGATGCTATTTCCAAATGATTAACGTATATTTTTCCTAATATTTTTCTTGGTAATATAATCTCCATTAGGGCTTGTTGAATGGTAAAGGTATGTTGATCTCGTTTTAACAAAATTCTTCTAAGTCTTTTTAAGTTTTGCATTCCTTTGGTATTTTTACTACACAAACATCTATTGTCTCATCTGGGTTTGTCTCCTTCCAATAATAATCATTCATAAGCTCATAAATGCCTGATCTAAATTTATACTTAAGCTTCATATGTTTTAGGAAAGTAGCTCTCATCTTAGAGACCTCATAGCCTTCAATTAATGTACAGGACATAAAGTTTACGGTTGCTTTGTCAATGGTGTAAAAACATGCAACGTCCATACTGGGCATGACCCTCATGCCAAATATAATTGCTATGACATACTAATAAATGAGAGTAACAAATATTGCTGCAGGGATCATCCATTTGCAAGGGAACATAGAAACAAAAGCTAAGAGGACTCCTGTCTTGATGAGAGAGTACGTGATATTTGTCTTCATTTAGTACTAAATTGATATTTATTAACTATTGTAATCTAATTTGACTGAATTATTTTTTAATAGTATTAATGTAGATTGAGGGGTTTTGGGGTTTTGGGGAGATCGGAAGAGCACAC